TCCTACAACCATGTTAAAACCAATGTCGACTGTTACAACATCATCCTACAATCATGTTAAAACCAATGTCGACTGTTACAACATCATCCTACAACCATGTTAAAACCAATGTCGACTGTTACAACATCATCCTACAATCATGTTAAAACCAATGTCGACTGTTACAACATCATCCTACAACCAAGTTAAAACCAATGTCGACAGCCAAGTTAAAACCAATGTCGACTGTTACAACATCATCATACAACCAAGTTAAAACCAATGTCGACTGTTACAACATCATCCTACAACCAAGTTAAAACCAATGTCGACTGTTACAACATCATCATACAACCATGTTGACACCATTGAGCTGTAGCAACATCATCCTACAACCATGTTGACACCATTGAGCTGTTACAACATCATCCTACAACCAAGTTAACACCATTGAGCTGTTACAACATCATCCTACAACCAAGTTAAAACCAATGTCGACTGTTACAACATCATCCTACAACCAAGTTAAAACCAATGTCGACTGTTACAACATCATCATACAACCATGTTGACACCATTGAGCTGTAGCAACATCATCCTACAACCATGTTGACACCATTGAGCTGTTACAACATCATCCTACAACCAAGTTAACACCATTGAGCTGTTACAACATCATCCTACAACCAAGTTAACACCATTGAGCTGTAGCAACATCATCCTACAACCATGTTGACACCATTGAGCTGTAGCAACATCATCCTACAACCATGTTGACACCATTGAGCTGTAGCAACATCATCCTACAACCATGTTGACACCATTGAGCTGTAGCAACATCATCCTACAACCATGTTGACACCATTGAGCTGTAGCAACATCATCCTACAACCATGTTGACACCATTGAGCTGTAGCAACATCATCCTACAACCATGTTGACATCATTGAGCTGTTACAACATCATCCTACAACCATGTTGACACCATTGAGCTGTAGCAACATCATCCTACAACCATATTGACACCATTGAGCTGTAGCAACATCATCCTACAACCATGTTAAAACCAGTGTCGACTGTTACAACATCATCCTACAATCATGTTGACACCATTGAGCTGTAGCAACATCATCCTACAATCATGTTGACACCAATGTCTGACTGTTACAACATCATCCTACAATCATGTTGACACCATTGAGCTGTAGCAACATCATCCTACAATCATGTTGACACCATTGAGCTGTAGCAACATCATCCTACAATCATGTTGACACCAATGTCTGACTGTTACAACATCATCCTACAATCATGTTGACACCATTGAGCTGTAGCAACATCATCCTACAACCATGTTGACACCATTGAGCTGTAGCAACATCATCCTACAACCATGTTGACACCATTGAGCTGTAGCAACATCATCCTACAACCATGTTGACACCAATGTCGACAACATCATCCTACAATCATGTTGACACCAATGTCGACAACATCATCCTACAACCATGTTGACACCAATGTCGACAACATCATCCTACAATCATGTTGACACCAATGTCGACAACATCATCCTACAATCATGTTGACACCAATGTCGACAACATCATCCTACAACCATGTTGACACCATTGAGCTGTAGCAACATCATCCTACAACCATGTTGACACCATTGAGCTGTAGCAACATCATCCTACAACCATGTTGACACCATTGAGCTGTAGCAACATCATCCTACAACCATGTTGACACCATTGAGCTGTAGCAACATCATCCTACAACCATGTTGACACCAATGTCGACAACATCATCCTACAACCATGTTGACACCATTGAGCTGTAGCAACATCATCCTACAACCATGTTGACACCATTGAGCTGTAGCAACATCATCCTACAACCATGTTGACACCATTGAGCTGTAGCAACATCATCCTACAACCATGTTGACACCAATGTCGACAACATCATCCTACAACCATGTTGACACCATTGTCGACAACATCATCCTACAACCATGTTGACACCATTGAGCTGTAGCAACATCATCCTACAACCATGTTGACACCAATGTCGACAACATCATCCTACAACCATGTTGACACCATTGAGCTGTAGCAACATCATCCTACAACCATGTTGACACCAATGTCGACAACATCATCCTACAACCATGTTGACACCATTGTCGACAACATCATCCTACAACCATGTTGACACCATTGAGCTGTAGCAACATCATCCTACAACCATGTTGACACCAATGTCGACAACATCATCCTACAACCATGTTGACACCATTGTCGACAACATCATCCTACAACCATGTTGACACCATTGAGCTGTAGCAACATCATCCTACAACCATGTTGACACCAATGTCGACAACATCATCCTACAACCATGTTGACACCATTGTCGACAACATCATCCTACAACCATGTTGACACCATTGAGCTGTAGCCGCAGGAGAAGCGGTTTTATCTTGGAGGACACTTCATGCCATACATGACAAAATGTCTGCCGGCCTGACGTCAGGCAAGTGTATCCTGACCGGCAACCGGTCTGTCACGGTCCACAGATCGACTAAAGACGTCTCTGCTGCACATACTGTCTTTACAAACGGTTGTATGCAGCATAATTGAAGCAACGTACCCCTGTGTGATCTACTGTGTCCTTTAGTCAATTCAGCGGTTCTAACATTATATCACTAAAAGACTTTAAAAAAAACTTTTAAAAAATTAAGCATGATGTCGCATCCTGGTGTTGGGGGCTTACGGCAAGTCTAGATGTCGCATCCTGTGTTGGGGGCTTACGGCAAGTCTAGATGTCGCATCCTGTGTTGGGGGCTTACGGCAAGTCTAGATGTCGCATCCTGTGTTGGGGGCTTACGGCACGTCTAGATGTCGCATCCTGTGTTGGGGGCTTACGGCAAGTCTAGATGTCGCATCCTGTGTTGGGGGCTTACGGCACGTCTAGATGTCGCATCCTGTGTTGGGGGCTTACGGCACGTCTAGATGTCGCATCCTGTGTTGGGGGCTTACGGCAAGTCTAGATGTCGCATCCTGTGTTGGGGGCTTACGGCACGTCTAGATGTCGCATCCTGTGTTGGGGGCTTACGGCAAGTCTAGATGTCGCATCCTGTGTTGGGGGCTTACGGCAAGTCTAGATGTCGCATCCTGTGTTGGGGGCTTACGGCACGTCTAGATGTCGCATCCTGTGTTGGGGGCTTACGGCAAGTCTAGATGTCGCATCCTGGTGTTGGGGGCTTACGGCAAGTCTAGATGTCGCATCCTGTGTTGGGGGCTTACGGCAAGTCTAGATGTCGCATCCTGGTGTTGGGGGCTTACGGCAAGTCTAGATGTCGCATCCTGTGTTGGGGGCTTACGGCAAGTCTAGATGTCGCATCCTGTGTTGGGGGCTTACGGCAAGTCTAGATGTCGCATCCTGTGTTGGGGGCTTACGGCACGTCTAGATGTCGCATCCTGTGTTGGGGGCTTACGGCAAGTCTAGATGTCGCATCCTGTGTTGGGGGCTTACGGCACGTCTAGATGTCGCATCCTGTGTTGGGGGCTTACGGCACGTCTAGATGTCGCATCCTGTGTTGGGGGCTTACGGCAAGTCTAGATGTCGCATCCTGTGTTGGGGGCTTACGGCAAGTCTAGATGTCGCATCCTGTGTTGGGGGCTTACGGCACGTCTAGATGTCGCATCCTGTGTTGGGGGCTTACGGCAAGTCTAGATGTCGCATCCTGTGTTGGGGGCTTACGGCACGTCTAGATGTCGCATCCTGTGTTGGGGGCTTACGGCACGTCTAGATGTCGCATCCTGTGTTGGGGGCTTACGGCAAGTCTAGATGTCGCATCCTGTGTTGGGGGCTTACGGCAAGTCTAGATGTCGCATCCTGTGTTGGGGGCTTACGGCACGTCTAGATGTCGCATCCTGTGTTGGGGGCTTACGGCAAGTCTAGATGTCGCATCCTGTGTTGGGGGCTTACGGCACGTCTAGATGTCGCATCCTGTGTTGGGGGCTTACGGCAAGTCTAGATGTCGCATCCTGTGTTGGGGGCTTACGGCAAGTCTAGATGTCGCATCCTGTGTTGGGGGCTTACGGCAAGTCTAGATGTCGCATCCTGTGTTGGGGGCTTACGGCAAGTCTAGATGTCGCATCCTGTGTTGGGGGCTTACGGCAAGTCTAGATGTCGCATCCTGTGTTGGGGGCTTACGGCAAGTCTAGATGTCGCATCCTGACTGTGTGACGGTCCGAAATGGCGAGCCGACGCAAGCACGAACCTTGGAGACGGGAGGGGGGGGGGGGCGGGTTAACGGTCAGCCAGTGTCAACAAGCGGATATTGTTTCACCTGATCATTGTTTGATGCGGCCAAGGCCATCCAGATGGCTTGACATGCCCCGGGGGACGAGGAATATTGGCCTCTAATGGGAGCTGGCCACCCTTTAGTGGGCCATAACTGTCATTTATAGCCCTCGAACCGAGACACGCATTACATTTAAGTGACGATCGAAAATTAACCGTTTGATCGATGACCTGCGGCTGTTTGCTTTTCATCTGCGAGTTACGAGGGCGCCAATTTTAGAAGTATTCAGGATTTCGATCGGTTATTTCTGCACTGTAAGGATAGTCCTAGCACATCTATGCCGCGATTCACGTTAGAGAAGGTATGGCATGTCAATAAAACACTTCAGCACTAAGGCTCAATGGACACGGTTCTCTTGCTCGACGAGTTTTCCCACAAGACAAACATGAGTGACCTACCTTATTTGGGTCCAGGGACACGCCGTCCCCCACGAGTTTTCCCACAGGACAAACACGAGTTACCTACCTTATTTGGGTCCAGGGACACGCCGTCCCCCACGAGTTTTCCCACAAGACAAACATGAGTGACCTACCTTATTTGGGTCCAGGTTTTCCCACAAGACAAACACGAGTTACCTACCTTATTTGGGTCCAGGGACACGCCGTCCCCCACGAGTTTTCCCACAAGACAAACATGAGTTACCTACCTTATTAGGGTCCAGGGACACGCCGTCCCCCATGCCAGACAGGATCTTGAGACGGTTGCCAGGAGCTATCCCATGTTTCCCTCGGAGTGAGCACAGCCACCAGCCCTCGAGTCCGCTCGTGTCCTGTTCGACCACGGTCAAGACGTCGCCGCGACGGAAGGCCAGCTCGTCGGGCGTCTCGGCGATGTTGTCGTATAGAGCCTTGGCCAGGAACATGCCCTGTGGACAAGAGGTCAGACGTCAGTGTGGACAAGAGGTCAGAGGTCAGTGTGGACAAGAGGTCAGAGGTCAGTGTGGACAAGAGGTCAGAGGTCAGTGTGGACAAGAGGTCAGAGGTCAGTGTGGACAAGAGGTCAGAGGTCAGTGTGGACAAGAGGTCAGAGGTCAGTGTGGACAAGAGGTCAGAGGTCAGTGTGGACAAGAGGTCAGAGGTCAGTGTGGACAAGAGGTCAGAGGTCAGTGTGGACAAGAGGTCAGAACTGTGGGCTCAGTGTGGACAAGAGGTCAGAGGTCAGTGTGGACAAGAGGTCAGAGGTCAGTGTGGACAAGAGGTCAGAGGTCAGTGTGGACAAGAGGTCAGAGGTCAGTGTGGACAAGAGGTCAGAACTGTGGGCTCAGTGTGGACAAGAGGTCAGAGGTCAGTGTGGACAAGAGGTCAGAGGTCAGTGTGGACAAGAGGTCAGAGGTCAGTGTGGACAAGAGGTCAGAACTGTGGGCTCAGTGTGGACAAGAGAAGTGGTCAGTATGGACAAGAGATGTGGTTAGTATGGACAAGAGATGTGGTTAGTATGGACAAGAGATGTGGTTAGTATGGACAAGAGATGTGGTTAGTATGGACAAGAGATGTGGTTAGTATGGACAAGAGATGTGGTCAGTGTGAATAATCAAACCTTTTTCGTCACAATACCCCCACATGCCAAGACAAAACGTTTCGGCATTTATAAAATCAGATACAAACCCTTGGGGAAGATAATCTAGAGTAGGCCTACATGACCATGCTGTTCTGACCTAATTGTAAACAACAATTGTCAAGAAAGTCTTGTAAACAAACACACAAATGTAACTTTTACTCCCCATAGACATTAAGGCAAAAAACATACCATAAAATAAGTTTGACTAGATGTTTTAGTTGTTAAAATCAGCGAATGCACAGAGAATACAGAGAATGCACACCATAGTGCGCAAACCCTGTACTACTACAACCACTGCTACACTAAAACGTTTGCCATTAACTCTTGCCGTGTAACACAGCAGTAGCTAGGACAAGTGACCAACCTTTAGCGAGCCCCTTTTCATTCCCCGAACATTATCAAACAGCCAGTGCATATCCAACTATCGATCGATAGCAAATGTAAACAGTGATCGATTTCACCGAAATATCATATCCACAGGTTGAAGAAGTTTGAAGAGAATATTTTTTTATAATCCAGCATGAATAAACGATTGCACGTGGTGAGTTCACTGAAATGTTGGGTAAAACAATTTGAGCTGGTGAATCACAGCAGCAACCAGTAATGACCAACAATGCGAGAAAACGGCCGGTTGAAAGTGAGTTAATCTCCTGCTGGCCTGCGGTCCACTCAAGGATTAACCACGCTCTCAGCCGGACGAGTGGTCTCGCCCTCGCTCATCGTGTCAAGAGGCCGCAACAAACGAGCGAATCCAAACAACCGCTGGGCTAACACCGTGTTCGGGCGACGTGTTGGGCCACCCAAGTCTATGTCAATAAAGGCCATTGTAGCTTGTTGCGAACTTTGACCCGGGGCCACAATGTTGTCCATTTTAATGTTTTTGAGCACTACCCTCAAATGTTTTAATAAACGGACGGTTATAGTCTCCCAGCAAACTGACAGCTACAGCAAAAGTTGCAATGGCCCTCAAACTCACGTGCGTAATGGCCCTCAAACTCACGTGTGTAATGGCTCTCAAACTCTCGTGTGTAATGGCCCTCAAACTCACGTGTGTAATGGCTCTCAAACTCTCGTGTGTAATGGCCCTCAAACTCACGTGTGTAATGGCCCGGGTATAAAAGGGCCGTCTATCATGTGCACAATGGCCCCGAGTACATGATGGCCTTTGTTCTCATTTTGTTTATAGAATGCCAGACCCGGCACAACGTGAGCAAGAACTTGAGAACCGCCATGATAAAGTGGAGATATAAATATCCTTGACCTTCCAGCTCCAGGCATCTTGTGTATTACAAGGGGGGGGGGGTTGGGCTATTTAAAGACCAAAGTCCAATAGGAGTGTGACTGACCAAACCCTGACTTATTAGACACGCTTCACCGCCTACACGCCGGAGGGGGAGGGGTGGAGGTATGAATGCGTTGGATGGATGAGTGACCACTTGAGGAGGTGTGTGCTTATACCAGTTGGTTGAGGTTGGTTTCAGATGAGAAGAACCCCCCACCCACCCCTCCCAGACATACCCCATCGGTCCGTGGCTGATGGAGAAATGGTTTTAAACGCTCCAAGTTTACCGAGCTGATGGCGAGAGTCAGCTAAAGACAAGTGGGTGAGGGAGGCATCTCCTGGTGCCAACAACAACGTTACTAGAGGGGTTCGATGGCGAGATTAACGGATGATGTGTTGATAGTTGGGGGCAGTTTGTGTGGGGAGGCTGGTTTGGGGAGGCTTGTGTGGGGAGGTTTGTGTGGGGAGGCTGGTGCAGGGAGGCTTGTGTGTGGAGGTTTGTGTGGGGAGGCTGGTGTGGGGAGGCTTGTGTGGGGAGGTTTGTGTGGGGAGGCTGGTGCAGGGAGGCTTGTGTGTGGAGGTTTGTGTGGGGCGGTTTTTGTGGAGCGGTTCGTGTGGGGAGGATGGTGTGGGGAGGTTTGTGGTAGGCGGCTGGTGTGGGGAGGCTTGTGTGGAGAGGTTTGTGTGGGGCGGTTCGTGTGGGGAGGATGGTGTGGGGAGGTTTGTGGTAGGCGGCTGGTGTGGGGAGGTTTGTAGAGGGCGGTTTGTGTGGGGCGGTTTGTGTGGGGAGGTTGCTGTGGGGAGGCTTGTGTGGGGAGGTTTGTGTGGGGCGGTTTTTGTGGGGAGGCTGGTGCGGGGAGGCTAGTGTGGGGCGGTTTGTGTGGGGAGGATGGTGTGGGGAGGATGGTGTGGGAAGGCATGTGTGGGGAGGTTTGTGTGGGACGGTTCGTGTGGGGAGGATGGTGTGGGGAGGTTTGTGGTGGGCGGCTGGTGTGGGGAGGTTTGTGGAGGGCGGTTTGTGTGGGGAGGATGGTGTGGGGCGGTTTGTGTAGGGAGCTATGTGTGTGTGTGGGTAGTTGTGTGGGGAGCTCGAAACGGTTTACAAGCGCGGTGATTCTCTTGGCACGTGTCTAAGTTGACCCATATCAATGCCAAGGTCAGAGTGTGAGTGCTATCCTGTGCTGTGGCGTCATGTCTATAAAAATGCGAGTTGTAAACGAAAGGGACGAACTGTAAACACAGGCACATAGCTTCTATTTGGTGCTAATCGATTTATTGATCATTGTGCTAATTGGTTCAGGTACTAATTGATTCAGGTACTAATTGATTCGGGTACTAATTGATTCAGGTACTAATTGAGTATGGTAACAATCTTATCTACAGGTACGAAAAGCAGGTAACGCGAATACTGAACCAATAGGCTTACGGCTGGGATTAGGCTAAGATTAGGGTTGGGTTAAGGTGAAAATGTTATCGGCGATGTTATGTAAACATGTATGTCTACAGGGCACGATGCCATACACAACATATGACGCAGGTAGTTGGAATGATAAATTGTGACTACTGTCACATACGACGAAGGTATACAGTTGCCTATTGAGGAGAGCAGACGAATAGCTCAAGTGTCACACACGATGACTAATGCAACAGTGGCCCTGTGTGCAGGTCGTCAACACAGTGAACTCTGACCCTTAAGGCACGTTTATCTACGTTTGAAACCAACCTTTGATAAAGTTCTATAAATAGCTGAGATATCAGAGACACATACATCATTTAATGGTTGGTTTACTTTATTTGATGGGATGGCCTCTAATTGCTGGGGTGCCTCTATTTGCTGGGGTGGCCTCTATTTGCTGGGGTGGCCTCTTGAAGCAATACATGTGTTATAGTCACACTACATGTGGCACTCTTACAGTAAACCATCATCACGTGTCACGTAGCGACACCTACAGATGATCACACAACATCTACAGCTGAATACACAGCAACAACAACACCGGATCACGCAGCAACATCTACAGCTGACCACACAACAACAACACCAACATCTGACCACACAGCAACACCAACATCTGACCACACAACAACACCAACATCTGACCACACAGCAACATCTACAGCTGACCACGCCTACTTAAGGAAGCTTTAGTTAGAGCAAGCCTTAAGGGTTGACACAACACCGCCTTCACTGACCACATAACCAGGACAGAGGCGGACACTCCACCCACACTCAAATCCCCCTCAGCAAACACGGCCTCCACAGTAAACCTCTCGCATCAAAAGATGGGGCCACGCCCATGATAAGAAAACAAACAGAGCGTCGCCTAATTTATTTGCACAAGTGAAACTGGATTACTTATATAGTAAACCACTTAGATCAATTGTGTGTGGAGAGTACTTAGCGCTTGTTGCCAACTACTGGTGATTCACGATTCCACTCCATGACACGACTAGTTCTTTAATTCTTGGCGGTACAACTTTGGCCACAGTACAACATGGGCCACAGTACAACATGGGCAACAGTACAACATGGGCCACTACAACATGGGCCACGGTACAACATGGGCAACAGTACAACATGGGCCACTACAACATGGGCCACGGTACAACATGGGCAACAGTACAACATGGGCCACTACAACATGGGCCACGGTACAACATGGGCAACAGTACAACATGGGCCACTACAACATGGGCCACGGTACAACATGGGCAACAGTACAACATGGGCCACTACAACATGGGCCACGGTACAACATGGGCCACGGTACAACATGGGCAACAGTACAACATGGGCCACTACAACATGGGCCACGGTACAACATGGGCCACGGTACAACATGGGCCACGCCACAAAACGTGTATTCTGTTCAGTGTTTCTTCCAGACTTTTTTCTCCGGGGGCACTCGTAAAAGTATATATTTTCTATATAAATTCCATTCGTTCGGGGGGGGGGGGGGGGGGGGGAGAGATTTTCTTCGAAGAAACTGGAAGAAACTCAGATCCTGTTTTAAAACAAAACTGGG